TAGGGTACACCACCTTTTTTAGGGGCAATGCAGTACGATTGGGGTGCAGAACCCATTTGAGGGTGTCCTTACCGGAGGGGAAATTATCTCGGGGCGGCTTCCTTTTTGGGGCCGCGTTTAAGGTGACCCCATTTTGGTTGGCTGCATTTACCGCCGCCCGCCCTGGCGGCGGGCGCAGTCCTTCCCTTCTGCCGCCCCTTTCGCCGTGCCATGGCTGTGCGGGGCGTCCGTGCTGCTGACGGTCGCTGGCGGAGCAAAGGTCGGGACGGCGCCAACCAGGTCAGCGTGCTTGCTGGGTCTGGTGCGAGGTGTGACGGCGGCGGCGGCCGACGGCGAAGAGCCGCCACCGCCCCCTCTTGCGGGCTGGGGGTGGGCAGTGCTGGCGGCGCCGTTGCTAGCCTCGTTGGTGGCTCTGTGCAGCTGGCTGGCCCGGATTGCGCGAGCATGGATGTCACAGGCACGCTGGCGGAGGATGCCGAGCACAGCGGTTGTCCCCTCACCGCCGAGCACAGCGGTTGCCCCCTCACCGCCGAGCACAGCGGTTGCCCCCTCACCGCCGAGCACAGCGGTTGCCCCCTCACCGCCGGGGAGCCCCCCGGAGCACGCGGGAGCCACCCCGACCGCAACGGACGGCACGATGCCGAGTCTCGTCGACGTTGTCGACGTGGAGGATGGAGACGATTGGCAGATCGTGCGAAGCTTCGCGGCGGCGCACGGCCAGCTCGGGACCCTTGACGCCCTCCTGGAGTACGCAAAGGGTGCGATGCGGCACGCCGAGGACCTCGTGGGGCCAGAACGGCTCGAGGGGATCACGGGAGCGTCGGGGAGGAAGCTGCTCCACTTCGAGGGACGGCCGGAACTTGCGAGACAGGCGAGGCAGTTAGTGCAGATGGTGCTGCCGCACGTTCCGCCGGCAGTCGCTGCCGGCCGCCTGCGCCGACGCTGTTGACGACGCTGGCAGCGCCGCTGTTGCCGCCGGTCGCAGTACCGTCGTCAGTCGGCAGGCTGCACCTGCCGACCGACCCTTCGCGTCTGTTCACAGCCCTTGTTATGTGAAGAAAACAGTGGCCAGGGGCGGGGCTTGCATTTTTGCCGTCGCCAGTCGCACTCCCAAACGCTACAACGGGGGCGGCGCTAGGCTGAGATTTTTTTTTTCCCTTCGCGGCAACGCGATGGCGGCAAGCTCTTTGTGCGCCCACCCTCGTCACGCAGAAGACCAACGGGCGTCGGACCGCGGTGAGACCGCGCCGCCCTCCGCGCCCGCCCGCGCCCGCAGCGTGAACACATACGCGCGTCCCCCGCCGCACGGAAACATACGCGCCAGCCGCGCACACAGCCTCACATGCAGCGCAGACCGCATGCCCGCGCCCTGGGCCGCCGACGACCCGGTCGGGCGGGCTGAGCGGCCGCCGCACACCACCAGGCAGGCGCACAACCACCCGCAGCGCGCCGCAGCCCGCCGCGCAGCCCTGCCAGCCAAGCCTGCGCCTCCCAGCTGCACAAACAGGCGCACAACAGAATACAGCACACAGCACACACCAGTGGCGCGCGCGCAGCACACGCAGACGCGCGCGCGACCGCAACACGCACACGTACACAGCACGCGCGCGTCGCACGCCAGCGCAGCGCCACACACAGAGCACACTTCCCACCAGCAGCAGCAGCCTGCCACAATCCACATCTCACACACGCGCGCACACACTCCCCCCTACCGGCGCACGCATTGGGCGTCGCCGAGAGCTCCCAAAGCTGACTTGTGTGGCTGCTTGCGCTGCCTGCTCATGAGCAGGCAGCACAAGCAGCCACACAACCCAAAAGCTCACTTGTATGGCTGCTTTTGTGCTGCCTGCTTGGCAGCACAAGCAGCCACACAACATCCCGCTTCATCTCGCCTCCTAGTCTCGCCTCATCTCGCCTCATCTCGCCTCACCTCGCTTCATCTCGCCTCACCTCGCTTCATCTCGCCTCACCTCGCCTCATCTCGCCTCACCTCGCCTCATCTCGCCTCACCTCGCCTCATCTCGCCTCACCTCGCCTCATCTCGCCTCACCTCGCCTCATCTCGCCTCATCTCGCCTCATCTCGCCTCATCTCGCCTCATCTCGCCCCCCACCTCGCCTCACCTCGCCTCATCTCGCCTCATCTCGCCCCATTTTTTTTCTTTTCTAGACCACTCCGAGACCGACCCGCCCAAGACCGACCCGAGACCCGAGATCGACCCGAGATCGACCCGAGATCGACCCGAGATCGACCCGAGATCGACCCGAGATCGACCCGCCGCGATTTCACACCGTAGGCTCCCTGCCTGTCTCCTGTCATCTGTCTCACTGTCACCTTTCGGGGGGGGGGGGGGGGGGCTGTCTGTCCATTTCCGACTGTCCGTGCGTGCGATCCGGATCCTGGCTGTGCTTTGTGTGAACAGCGCCATCGGAGGGAATTTCTTCTCAATAACAAGGCTGTGAAGACGCCGTAGAGGCGCGTGGCAAGGCGTCCTTGGTAAGGACTGCGCGCTGCTCCTCTTCTTCTCAGGAGCGCCGCGCCCTCGCCCCACCACACCACACGCTCACCGCTCTCTCTTCCCCACGTCCGCTTCTCGAGCAGCACACACACTGCGCCGCTCTCTCCACCCCTTCTCGTCTCTCGCCGCCGCCGCCGCCGCCGCCGCCGCAGCCTCCGAAACCTACAACGCCCGGCGCCCCCCCCGCGCTGCTCCCCACGTACCCCCGCGCCCCCCCTCGGAGCCTCGCGTGCGTCGCTTCGCCAGCTCGCGCGCACCACGCCTCGGGCTCGCGTACCACATCAGGGCCCGTCGGCCCCCCGTGCCTCACGCGTCGATCTCTAGCCACCACCCGGACGAGCCCGCCGTCCGCACTGCACCGCTCATGTCTGCAGCAGACTCACCTGCCGCCGCTTCTCGGGCCTCGCGCACCACAGGCACCAGCACTGAGGACAACGAGCGTGCATTTCAATGAGCCTTCCTCGCCTATTCACGTGTCTCATGGTGGGATCAGATAGCGCCAGCCTGCTCGAGATGCACCTCAACGCTACGAGCCTGCTTGTGAGCGCGTGGGTCGTAGTGGAGGCAGAAGTGAGCTTGGCTGGCAGGAAGCGCAGCGTTAATCACGCAATGATCTCCCGGCTGGCGGTGCAGTATGGAGTGGATCGCGTTCAGCACGTGATTGTACCGGCGGCGGAGATGCACATCGCAAACCAGTCTCTCCTGAGCCACCGCCTCGCTTTCGAGAATGAAGCGCTGCAACGCAGCCGCTGCGCCTCAGCCGTGCGTACTCTGCAGGCTCAGCCGATGGATCAGGTGCTCATCCTCGATCCAGATGAGCTTCCGAGCCCCGCGCAGCTCGAGGCACTCCGGCATGTCAACGCCAACGACGACCACACCCTCTGGAGCCTGCCGATGCTCAGGTTTCATTACGACTTGGCTTGTCCGAGTGGTGGCTGGAGAGTGGGCAGAGCGGCATCATGGGCGCTCGTGCGGCGGCTGGCGGAGCAACATCCCGATCGTTGGGCATACTACGTTCGTGCCACGGCTGCTCGACCTGCGGGCTTCTCTCGACTGCTGCGAGACGGCTCCCTGCCCAGTGCGTCGCCAGGCCTGCACATGACGTTTGCTGTGACGGACGAGAACATCACGCAGAAGGTCCTCTCGTTTGCTCATACGGAGTTTGCGAGTGGACACGTCGCCAGCCGCGTGGGCGTGGCCGCGCGCGTGGCGGCAGGATGCGATCCGTTGATGCGAGCAGACAAGGGCAGCCCGCGCCTCGCGTGCCACGCAAGATGGAACGTGTCGCACAACGGGGCGGCGTGGCGAGCATACAGTCAGCCTTGGATGTCGAGCATTGTGCACCAGTTTCTGCCTCACACAATCAAGCGAGAGCAGTCTCGCGAGCGACTCGCGCTGCACGGAGCAGAGCAGACCGCCGTCTGCGCAGGGCTGTTTGGCGGAGGGCCCACCGGTGCACGGCTGCAGGAATGGCTAGTAGAGCCAACTGCTGATGCGACGCGGCTCAGACAGTGGCTGCACGAGCGACGCCCAAAAGCTCACGGGCGCCACCCACCCTTCCGGCCTCGCCATGACCGTCACCTTCAGTCCTGACACGGACATGGACAGCGTTCGCATCGACTTCTCGTCGGAAGCGACCGCGATTGTCCACGCCATCGCCCAAGTGCAAGACAACGTTGAGCCAGGCCCCGCCGGCCTCTTGTTCCACTGAGGGGCGATCAAAAGAGGAGTTGTTCCCTCGGCATTAGTCGTAACTGGCCGGCGATCGCAATTCCCGGCGAGGTGCCGTGTCGACGGCGCGAGCTGATAGCCCCCCGCTACCCAGTTGCACTCGTGCGACGTAGCGCTAGCGGGGGGGCATGACTACGTTCTTACGCGCGTTGCATCTTACATAAGTTCCCGTTTTGGCCGCCGGGAACCACTCTCACCTCTGTGAAGCGACCAGTGTACCGTAAGTGTGTCTGCCGCGGTTATATTTTAATATTACGTGAGACGCTCATATTGTGACGAGCTGAGCTCTCCTCTTCGTTTTAGATTTTACGCCCATCTTTTCCACCGAGTTAGACAACGTGTGTGTTTTTAACGTGCGGCTGCGGGAGCGGGCGAGGGACACGGACTGGCGACTGCCGCGTAGGGTGAGAGCTGCAGTCTCCCCAACCGCAACCGCAACTCATCTCTATACCTACACTCGAACGCGCGCGCCCCGGTTGTGCCTCACACCAGCGTGCCCTCGGCCCCTCCCGACTCGTCACTGGAGCTCTCTCCGAACATCTCGCCCGCCTCCGCCTGCCGCAACTCCTCCTCATCGTCCATCGCCGCCAGCTCAGCCGGCAGCGCCTGCGACATCGGTCGCGTCCCTAGCGGCCGCGACTCCTCCTCGCCCCGTATGCATCATGCCGCCGACGGATGCGCTGATCCTCCGTCATGAAGTTGGGTATAGCGTCTGTAAACACGACGACATCGTCAATTGAACGGTTGCTTGAGACGAGCCTCAACACCTGCATAGTCATGAGTGTCTCTCCCATAGTCAGATTTGGTGTCTCTGAAATGGCCCGCATCCGCGCATGCAAGGACAGATGCGTCGGGATGACATTGAATTTGGTGTAGAGGTTGAACAGCTGGACAAATAGTTCCATGCTCGTGACCACCACTAAATCAGCAGCGACCAAGGAGCGGCCATGCTTGCGATGCCAATCACTGCAGTAGATTCTCTCCGGTGTCATGCGACATCCTGCGACTCGACCCCCGAGGGCTGCCGGCCGCCGACAGCAATACCGAGACCGGATTGCGCAGCGAGTTCGGTCCGAATGTGCCCAGGGCCAGCCCGTGGACCGGTACGGACGGCAGGTACCCACGGGACCGCTGCGGCGGGCCTGGGAGGCGCCACGAGTCCCAATCATGCACGGCCGGCGCACATCCCCAAGCTGGAAATAGGCCTTAGCTTACCTCGCGTGTGTGGAGAAGTTTACCTTACCTTAGCTTACCGTGTTTGCTGTTTTCACACCGAAGCCACGGCGCCTGGTTGTTGCACGTTAGAGCTCTAGAGCTCTAGAGGACACGGAGTTTTCAGGTTTCTGTCCCTCGCCTCTCCCCGCGCCCCGCGCGACGCGGCGCGTGTTGGCCTTTGCGCGAGCGTGCCCGGCCACTTCGCCCCCCATCCCATGCGCTGCAGCGAGACGTGATCAGTCATCGCCTCGGAGATGCGCCCTCTCGCTCGCCGCAACAAAAGCGGCTGCACCCCCCTCAGCCTGGCACCGCCTGCACCCACCGCCCGCAGGTGGCCACCATCGCGGAGCCGCGAGACGCGTCCGCTGCTGCCCATTCGCCACCCTGGTCCCGCGCCAGCCAGCTCGGACCGCCCTTCTGCCGGCCAAAGCCCGCTCGCTCGCCAGTCGCCGCCCGGCTCCAGTCCGAGCGTGGACGCGTGAGAGTGTGTCGGCAGCCTATCACGTTGTCGTTGCGACGCTCACGCCGCGACGTGCTGCCCGTAGGCGCAGCTCTACTCTCTCAGGCTCGACCCTTCCCGGTCAAGTCAAGAAGCCCGTTAGTCTCCTCTCCTGCTGCGGCGCGCGGCCGGGTTATTTCTTTCTGTCTTTTTAGGCGAGGTTGCCCGAGATTGCCCGAGAATTTCTCATATGCCTTTATAACCCAGCCCACCCCACCCCTCCCCACACCCCCACACCACACCACACCTCCCCCCCGCCCCACTCTCTAGCGACTCTGTGTCCGCAGCCGCTAGGGCCACTCAGCGCTGGCCTGCACCCTCCATCGGGGACACCACCTTCAACCGCTTCTTGACTCACTGCAGGAATTCATTCGATCAACATGCTCAAACTCGAGTTCGTGCCGGCCGCCGGTGACAAGCTCGTGCTCAAGCTCTCTCCTCCGCCGCCGCTTGCTGACAAGCAGGTGATGTGCGTTAATTTGCAGTGGCTGAGGGAGGGGGTGTACACCGCTGCAACGCACGCAACGCTGCGCTTTCCCTGCAAGACTATCCTCTCGCGTTCTGTGGCTGACAGGCGTCTCTGGCGGACAACACGACCGTTAGCGACTCTGGCGGCGGCAACGCCGTCGGCATCCCCTCCGAGCCCGTCTCGCTCAAGGATGGCATCGATACCGGCACCGGCGGCACCGGCACCGCCAGCACCGGCACCGACAACGTCCCGTCCGAGGGCGAGCCCGGCCCGCTCAAGGACGGCATTGACGCGGGCGGCGGCAACGTCGCGGGCGAGTTGTCGCCGATGAAGTCCGTCGCGAAGGTCGGAATCGTGCCGGCTGACGACGGCCGCATCACGCTCGTCATCTCCGCGTCGGTGTCGCCTTCGCTCCTCGGAGCCAAGGTGCGCGTGTGCACGCCAGGATTGTGATCATCCCCTCTCCCGTCTCCGAAAGCCTGCGCGTTCTCTCTTTCGCCCACAGACGTGCGGCGTCAAGAACGTCAAGGACACCTCCGTGGCAAAGTCTGGCACGGATGACGTTCTCAAGAAGGACCTGGCCGCGGATAAGGCGCCCGACGCGGGCGCGGTCGACTCGGACAAGGCCACGGCCATGTTCGCCGCCCACGAGCCAAGCCCAAACGCCGTTTTCTGGTCCAAGTTTACGCGCCCGACCGGCCCACCGACGGCCCCCACCGGCGCCGTCAAGGGCGCCCTCAAGAAGGACATCCCTGCGGCAGAGTCTGGCGCAGAGGCCTCCGTTGACGAGACCGGCGCCATCAAGATCGACCCGGCGCTCAAGCCGGCCACCAAGGTCGCCATGGCCCTCAAGCCGGCGGCGACCGGCGGCGCGCCGCTGCCGTCGATCAAGGAGTTTCCGAAGGAGGAGCCCGCCGCCCCGGCGGCGAGCGCCTGGCATTCTGCGCGCCGGCGTCTGCCGGCCCACTCTGTGACCCCATCCCGCGTTCGACGCGTAGGGCGACGCCGACTGGAACGTTTCGACCAAGGAGTTTGCAGAGGAGGAGCCCGCCCAGGCGGTGAGCACCTCCCAGCACCCTTCTGTGCACACGCGGGTATTGCGGGGACACGCGAGTCCTACAGGCGGGCACTTACATTGACCCTGTGACGTCTCGTCCGCCGCACGTCACGCGCGCGCAGGGCATCGACGAGTGGAAGACCCCCTCCCCGCTCCGCAAGATCGAGCGCCAGGGCGAGTCCAACCTGGTCGACGGCATCGCCGACTGGACGACCCCGTCGAACCCGCGCCGCAACAATTGGCGCAACAAGGGCGAGGTCAAGTCCAAGAAGGTCTCCAACAAGTACGATCTGCTCGACAACGTCGCGGCGGAGATCGACGAGGTCGACGACGAGAAGAAGGGAAGGGAGAAGGGCGCGAAGTCGGGCAAGGAGTCCTCGGTGTGCGCCCGCTCCTCACAGACACACACACTGCCCCGCGTTTACTTGACAGCGCGTCGCGCGCGCGGCAGGGCGAGTCTGTCTCGCCCGAGTCTGTCGGTGACATCGGCAAGGCGCCCCGCGGCTCCACGCCGTCGACCACGGACTCGGCGCTCGCCGCCTGCATGCGCCGGTCATCCCCTAAACCGTAGCTCACACCCATTCTGACGGCCCCTCGCCCCTGTTCAGGGCGCGACGGTCACGACTGTCACGCAGGAGGGATCCGTCTCCGCCTCCGGCTGGTTCTCGTGGCCCATGTTCTGCTGGCCTAACATGCTCTGCACCGTGTTCGTCTGCCTCATCGCGAGCGGTGGGGCTTTCGCCTACTCTTCGCAAGGCTACGGCTCCCAGCCCGTGTTCGCGGTGCCTCTGCCATCTTTCGCAGCCCAGCCTGTCTGGCTGTCAGAGTGCCCTTGCGGCACGCCGTTGATGAATGGCTCGGGACTGGGCGCCGGCAACCTGGACGATCCGGTGCGTGAGGAGCGAATGGCGCTGATCGAGGCGTCGCGCACCAACCCTCGCCAGTGGACTTTGGTTTTGCTGATGGGACAAACACGCAGCGTCGTGTTCACGGCCGACCAGATCGTGGCGAATCTGCTCCTGCCCAATGAGCCTTGCCACTTGTCGGTGGCGCTCGATTCGGGCCCTTCGCGCCTGCCCGCTCATGCGAGCAAGACGTTCCAGCCCTGGCTTGTGAGCGAGCAAGTCGTGCGACCGCCGTGCGCACGCGACGCGCGATCGTGCGCGCACGTTGAATTCCGACTTGCGCTGGCCGCGCTCGAAGGTGGCCTGCGCCATGGAGGGCAGAGGGGGTTGACGTACAACTACATGCTCTCGGCGCGCACGGACCTGTTCGTTGCTGCACCGCTATGCGTGAAGGCCCTGCTTGGGCATGTGGATGCGCAGCGGCTCGCCGCGCTCATGAGGCGGCTGGATGCGGCCGTCACAGCCGTGGAACCGACCCACGCCTCGACACTCGCACCCGAGGAGACGGACGCGCAGCGGCTAACGTCGCGTTGGCTGCTGGGCAGCGGCAGCACGGCGCTTGCGATCGCTCGGGCCAGGGCGGCAGCCCAGAGGAGGAGCTTCACGCAGTGGTGTCCGGAGTCGGTGCCCATTTGCAGCCACGCCAATGCGACGCGCGCCCTGCGGAGCGACATTCGCTCCTCCCAGGTGTCCGATTTGCAGCGGCTGACGCAGCGCATGGCGGCGAAGCATCGGCTCCTGGGCGTGTTGGGGAATACCTGGCTCCGCTTCGGGCGCGCAAGCGTGCTTGCTCGACACCTGCGCGACAGCGTGGCCAACTGGGGCCGCAGCTTTTGGTCGGTCTGTGGCGTCGAGCCGCTGCCCAAGTGGCATCCAGTCCACAGGGACAAGCTGGTCGACTTTCGCGAGGTCACTGAGACGCAGCTCCGTCTATCCGTCTGGGCGACGGGCGCGACGCTCGTGGAGGTGCCGGTCCCATTCTCGCCCAAGCACGGTGCCAAGTCGCTCTTGCGGATACAGCAGCAGGCGGCAAAGCGCGCGGCCGCATTCTTGGTGCGCAGCAACCAGGTGGAGCGTCTGTGCCTGTGCAGCGGCAATAGTACCGTACGCCTCGCTAGACGCCGACTCGGAGGCCGCACCGGTCAGGCGCGCAGCCGGAGAGAGAGGGAGGCGCTCATTGAGTAGGTTTAGATCACAACGAAACTAATACAGGTAACTGTGTCGCAAGGCAGCTTGGTGGGCAGCAGTTGCAAAGCTGTTTCATCCCATTGTTGCAGCCTCAGTTGCACCCTGTTGATCGAACCTCCCGGCACGAGTTGTGCGAGTACGGCTCTATATGGGACACGATGTGTCTCAAATATGAGGGGTTTTGACTCCTACAAGCTCCTGACGCTATTCCTGGCAGCTCTAATGACCAGGATCAGTAGTGCTATGATAGAGGGTGCCCATACTAGCGCAGGAGCTGCCACACTCGCCCGGACCGTCCCCTTCTGGGGCCGGTTCCGCAGCCCGCGAGAGCCGACAGCGGGGCCGTGCCGCGGGTGCCTACGGCTCGTTGTGCGAGTATATGGGCCACGATGTCTCAAATATGAGGGGTTTTGACTCCTACCGGCTCCTGACGCTATCCCTGGCAGCTCTAATGACCAGGATCAGTAGTGTTGTGATAGAGGTTGCCCATACTAGCGCAGGAGCTGCCACACTCGCCCGGACCGTCCCCTTCTGGGGCCGGTTCCGCAGCCCGCGAGAGCCGACAGCGGGGCCGTGCCGCGGGTGCCTACTGCCGAGTGCCACAAACACTGCGCCGTCCCGCCATCACCTACAGGCTGTCTTGAGTGATGGCTGGGATGTCCAAACGCCACCATCTTGGCTCTTGCGACCTCAAACCCGCGAGCTGTATGGGTGGTCCTGACGTCGACAGACGCCCGATGACCACGGTGAAGCTGAGCCGGAACGAGTCGACAAGTCTCGTCTGAGCCCGTGGCGGTCGCCGGCTGAGTCGCCGTGCACGGGCCGGTACCTCAGGCGTCACCTCCGCAGCCTCAGGTCTCAAACTCCACCACCTCCGCCGGGACACCTTCGGTGGCACGCTCGGCGGCGACTTTGTGGCAGCCCCACAGCGAGCGCGGCATCAAGCCTACTCGGTCTGGTCGGTCGGCCGCACTCCCTGGGTGCCAGGGAGTGCGGCCGACACGCGAGCGGTGCTTCCTGGCGGCGCGCGCCGGCTGTGGGGCTGCCACAAACTCGAGACACGCTTTTTTGGGACATTTTCAGTGTATGTAGCTCTTACGTACATTCCCGTAGGAGACTCTGCTGACAGGGTTTGCGATGAGGAGCGACCCGAAGGGTTTCTCGGAGGTTAGCGCACCACTAACCGCCGAGGCGCAAGAACTCTACGACGGATCGGGCTCATACTAGCACCCCACCTCGCGAGCCGACGTTCTGGCTCAGCGAGGCTGCTGCGGAGCACTCGCGGACCGGTTCTTCTGGTCCAGCGAGGCCGCTGCGGGGCACCCGGCGGCTCGGGTCACTTCTCATCGCAAACTCGGTCGAGCAATTTTCGACGCTTTTGTCCCATATACTCGCACAACAAGCCCTACTGCCGAGTGCCACAAACACTGCGCCGTCCCGCCATCACCTACAGGCTGTCTTGTGTGATGGTTGGGATGTCCAAACGCCACCATCTTGGCTCTTGCGACCTCACACCCGCGAGCTGTATGGGTGGTCCTGACGTCGACAGACGCCCGATGACCACGGTGAAGCTGAGCCGTAACGCGTCGACAAGTCTCGTCTGAGCCCGTGGCGGTCGCCGGCTGAGTCACCGTGCACGGGCCGGTACCTCAGGCGTCACCTCCGTAGCCTCAGGTCTCACACTCCATCACCTCCGACGGAACGCCTTCGGTGGCACGCTCGGCGGCGTACTTTCTGCAGCTCCATCTCGAGTACAGCGTCGAGCCTACTCACTCCAGTTGGATCTGTGCACTCCCTGGGTCCCAGGGAGTGCACAGATCCAGCAAGCGGTGCGTCCCGGCAGCGCGCGCAGGCTGCGGAGCTGCAACAAACTCGAGACACGCTTTTTGGGACATTTTCGACGCTTTTGTCCCATATACTCGCACAACATGCCGCCCCTGAAAAGGGCAGCCCTGTTGATCACACACACACACGAACCTCCCCTGAAAAGGGCAGCCCTCGACCGCGCGGGAGGAGCTCGAGGCCACTACTCTGACCTCACCGGGCCTCATCATCTCACAGGCAACCTCTTCTCGGCACGCGAGGCGTCGGTCGGACCTCGACGTGGACGTGCCGGTGTGTGTGTGGGGGGGGGGGGGGGGGTGTTCATGAACGGGGTGCGTTGTAGTGTGAAACGCCAATCAGTTATAGGTGGGGGAGGGCGACGACGGCTGTCTCGCGCTGCTGGGCGGGGACGAGCCGAGATCGCGCCGAGATCGCGCCGAGATCGCGCCGAGATACCTCGCGCTGCTGAGCGCGACCGTTTGGCCTGCCCGCCTCGACGCGGCGCGAGAGATGACTGGCTCAATGGGCCGAATCCATTCCCGCTAGCAGATCAGATCAGCGAGCGGATCAGTGAGCTTCATCAGCCCGTTCCGCAGAGGCGAGCACCTGCCCGGGTTCCTCGAGGCGACGCAGCCCGACCTGGCGCGCGAGGTCTAGCCGAGATCTAGCCGAGGTCTAGCCGAGGTCTAGCCGAGGTCTAGCCGAGGTCTAGCCGAGATCTGGCCGAGGTCTAGCCGAGGTCTGGCCGAGATCTAGCCGAGATCCAGCCGAGATCTCGACGCAGCCCGACCTGGTTGGCGAGCGGTAGCGGCACCACCTCCAGACCTCGACTGGGCCCTCCTAGACGCCTCCTCGAGCCGGCGCAAAGACACGAGCCCCGCCTCGAGGCGACGGGATCACACGCGCCATCGCCCGCGGCACCAATGGGCGACGGTCACGGCGCCGGGCCCCGTGAGGGTGTGGATGTTGGAAGGGGGGGGGGGGGGGACACCTGCCAGCCCCGTGGCGCCCCCACCGCCAAGCGCCGATTGCCAAGCGCCGATTGCTCGCAGGTCTTCTTTCAGGGCGGCGTCGACCCGCACCAGGCCTGTCCACTACCGCACACTACTACGACCTATTGCTACTGCACACTACTTGTACGACCTACTACTACCGCACCTACTACTACCGCACTCTACTGCTACCGCACACTACTACTACCGCACACTACTACTACCGCACACTACTGCTACCGCACACTACTACTACCGCACACTACTACTACCGCACACTACTGCTACCGCACACTACTGCTACCGCACACTACTGCTACCGCACACTACTGCTACCGCACACTACTACTACCTGACAAACGACGCCGGCCGGATCTCGGCTAGATCTCGGCCAGACCTCGGCTAGACCTCGGCTAGACCTCGGCTAGACCTCGGCTAGACCTCGGCTAGACCTCGCGCGCCAGGTCGGGCTGCGTCGCCTCGAGGAACCCGGGCAGGTGCTCGCCTCTGCGGAACGGGCTGATGAAGCTCACTGATCCGCTCGCTGATCTGATCTGCTAGCGGGAATGGATTCGGCCCATTGAGCCAGTCATCTCTCGCGCCGCGTCGAGGCGGGCAGGCCAAACGGTCGCGCTCAGCAGCGCGAGGTATCTCGGCGCGATCTCGGCGCGATCTCGGCGCGATCTCGGCTCGTCCCCGCCCAGCAGCGCGAGACAGCCGTCGTCGCCCTCCCCCACCTATAACTGATTGGCGTTTCACACTACAACGCACCCCGTTCATGATCCCAGGCCCGCCGCAGCGGTCCCGTGGGTACCTGCCGTCCGTACCGGTCCACGGGCTGGCCCTGGGCACATTCGGACCGAACTCGCTGCGCAATCCGGTCTCGGTATTGCTGTCGGCGGCCGGCAGCCCTCGGGGGTCGAGTCGCAGGATGTCGCATGACACCGGAGAGAATCTACTGCAGTGATTGGCATCGCAAGCATGGCCGCTCCTTGGTCGCTGCTGATTTAGTGGTGGTCACGAGCATGGAACTATTTGTCCAGCTGTTCAACCTCTACACCAAATTCAATGTCATCCCGACGCATCTGTCCTTGCATGCGCGGATGCGGGCCATTTCAGAGACACCAAATCTGACTATGGGAGAGACACTCATGACTATGCAGGTGTTGAGGCTCGTCTCAAGCAACCGTTCAATTGACGATGTCGTCGTGTTTACAGACGCTATACCCAACTTCATGACGGAGGATCAGCGCATCCGTCGGCGGCATGATGCATACGGGGCGAGGAGGAGTCGCGGCCGCTAGGGACGCGACCGATGTCGCAGGCGCTGCCGGCTGAGCTGGCGGCGATGGACGATGAGGAGGAGTTGCGGCAGGCGGAGGCGGGCGAGATGTTCGGAGAGAGCTCCAGCGACGAGTCGGGAGGGACCGAGGGCACGCTGGTGTGAGGCACAACCGGGGCGCGCGCGTTCGAGTGTAGGTATAGAGATGAGTTGCGGTTGGGGAGACTGCAGCTCTCACCCTACGCGGCAGTCGCCAGTCCGTGTCCCTCGCCCGCTCCCGCAGCCGCACGTTAAAAACACACACGTTGTCTAACTCGGTGGAAAAGATGGGCGTAAAATCTAAAACGAAGAGGAGAGCTCAGCTCGTCACAATATGAGCGTCTCACGTAATATTAAAATATAACCGCGGCAGACACACTACATTGGTCGCTTCACAGAGGTGAGAGTGGTTCCCGGCGGCCAAAACGGGAACTTATGTAAGATGCAACGCGCGTAAGAACGTAGTCATGCCCCCCCGCTAGCGCTACGTCGCACGAGTGCAACTGGGTAGCGGGGGGCTATCAGCTCGCGCCGTCGACACGGCACCTCGCCGGGAATTGCGATCGCCGGCCAGTTACGACTAATGCCGAGGGAACAACTCCTCTTTTGATCGCCCCTCAGTGGAACAAGAGGCCGGCGGGGCCTGGCTCAACGTTGTCTTGCACTTGGGCGATGGCGTGGACAATCGCGGTCGCTTCCGACGAGAAGTCGATGCGAACGCTGTCCATGTCCGTGTCAGGACTGAAGGTGACGGTCATGGCGAGGCCGGAAGGGTGGGTGGCGCCCGTGAGCTTTTGGGCGTCGCTCGTGCAGCCACTGTCTGAGCCGCGTCGCATCAGCAGTTGGCTCTACTAGCCATTCCTGCAGCCGTGCACCGGTGGGCCCTCCGCCAAACAGCCCTGCGCAGACGGCGGTCTGCTCTGCTCCGTGCAGCGCGAGTCGCTCGCGAGACTGCTCTCGCTTGATTGTGTGAGGCAGAAACTGGTGCACAATGCTCGACATCCAAGGCTGACTGTATGCTCGCCACGCCGCCCCGTTGTGCGACACGTTCCATCTTGCGTGGCACGCGAGGCGCGGGCTGCCCTTGTCTGCTCGCATCAACGGATCGCATCCTGCCGCCACGCGCGCGGCCACGCCCACGCGGCTGGCGACGTGTCCACTCGCAAACTCCGTATGAGCAAACGAGAGGACCTTCTGCGTGATGTTCTCGTCCGTCACAGCAAACGTCATGTGCAGGCCTGGCGACGCACTGGGCAGGGAGCCGTCTCGCAGCAGTCGAGAGAAGCCCGCAGGTCGAGCAGCCGTGGCACGAACGTAGTATGCCCAACGATCGGGATGTTGCTCCGCCAGCCGCCGCACGAGCGCCCATGATGCCGCTCTGCCCACTCTCCAGCCACCACTCGGACAAGCCAAGTCGTAATGAAACCTGAGCATCGGCAGGCTCCAGAGGGTGTGGTCGTCGTTGGCGTTGACATGCCGGAGTGCCTCGAGCTGCGCGGGGCTCGGAAGCTCATCTGGATCGAGGATGAGCACCTGATCCATCGGCTGAGCCTGCAGAGTACGCACGGCTGAGGCGCAGCGGCTGCGTTGCAGCGCTTCATTCTCGAAAGCGAGGCGGTGGCTCAGGAGAGACTGGTTTGCGATGTGCATCTCCGCCGCCGGTACAATCACGTGCTGAACGCGATCCACTCCATACTGCACCGCCAGCCGGGAGATCATTGCGTGATTAACGCTGCGCTTCCTGCCAGCCAAGCTCACTTCTGCCTCCACTACGACCCACGCGCTCACAAGCAGGCTCGTAGCGTTGAGGTGCATCTCGAGCAGGCTGGCGCTATCTGATCCCACCATGAGACACGTGAATAGGCGAGGAAGGCTCATTGAAATGCACGCTCGTTGTCCTCAGTGCTGGTGCCTGTGGTGCGCGAGGCCCGAGAAGCGGCGGCAGGTGAGTCTGCTGCAGACATGAGCGGTGCAGTGCGGACGGCGGGCTCGTCCGGGTGGTGGCTAGAGATCGACGCGTGAGGCACGGGGGGCCGACGGGCCCTGATGTGGTACGCGAGCCCGAGGCGTGGTGCGCGCGAGCTGGCGAAGCGACGCACGCGAGGCTCCGAGGGGGGGCGCGGGGGTACGTGGGGAGCAGCGCGGGGGGGGCGCCGGGCGTGGTAGGTTTCGGAGGCTGCGGCGGCGGCGGCGGCGGCGGCGGCGAGAGACGAGAAGGGGTGGAGAGAGCGGCGCAGTGTGTGTGCTGCTCGAGAAGCGGACGTGGGGAAGAGAGAGCGGTGAGCGTGTGGTGTGGTGGGGCGAGGGCGCGGCGCTCCTGAGAAGAAGAGGAGCAGCGCGCAGTCCTTACCAAGGACGCCTTGCCACGCGCCTCTACGGCGTCTTCACAGCCTTGTTATTGAGAAGAAATTCCCTCCGATGGCGCTGTTCACACAAAGCACAGCCAGGATCCGGATCGCACGCACGGACAGTCGGAAATGGACAGACAGCCCCCCCCCCCCCCGAAAGGGGACAGTGAGACAGATGACAGGAGACAGGCAGGGAGCCTACGGTGTGAAATCGCGGAGCGAAGAAAATTTTATACGGAATACGTCCATTTCGGGCAATACGTATTCCGGAATACGTGTGGAATACGGCCTAAAACTGCAATTTTATACGGACTACGGCCCTTTTTGGAGGTCATGGGAGCATCGTCACCTTGTGGTTGCCGAACCGCTCGCGGAACTTGTCCTCGTCTCCCCCTCCTGGACCGGAAATGCAGAAGAAGTGAGGCGCCGGCAGCTTGAGGAGCGTCTCGCCGTAGTCGGCGTAGTCGAACAAGGCCACGCCGGTGCCGCGAAGGCACGAGCCGACAAACGCCCACGCGCGCAGCGGCGGCATCGTGCCTCTCTTGTGGCAGCGCGCCGACTGGCTGTGGCCCTCTTTGGCGCGGCGGCAGATGGGTCGCCATCTGTTCTCGGTCTTGACGGCGCTCTTCGACGGCCCTTCGGTGCGCTCCTCTGGTGGCTTGCTCATCGCGCACTCCTCGTTCGGACAGCGGCCACCGGGCCCCGGCTTGGCAGTGCCGCACGTCTTGCCGTGGTACTGCTTGCTAAGGAGTCCTGCGGCGTCTTCCAAAAGAAGTTTACCACTCTCTAGAGGTTCTCGAGGTGGATATCCTTTGGCCGCGTTGGGTAGCGAGGATTGGTGTAACCCGAGCCACGGAGGCGTGTTTTCTGACGGCCGACCGTCAGTGCACGGAGTTGCCACTTCTCCGACTGCCCCGGCTAGTTCACGAGTTTCGCGGGAGTGACCCCATGCGTCAAACCCGAGACCTAGCGCGGGTGGGTTGGAGGGGGCTCGCCCCGTTCCTCCCATCGGGCCGCATGAGCGGCCACGCCTCGCAGATTCTTTTTTCGCTCCTGGGTCAGGCGCGCGGGGCATCCCCCGGGTCGCTCGACCAGCGGTCCGAAGAGTGGCCGCTATGCGTGCGATACGTGTGAGCCGCTGGAGGACCGGGTCGACCGTCTGTGGGCCTCGACTTCGAGAGGGAGAGTAGGGAGCTGCTGGGAGAGAGCGCTCTTGTTCCGTACACGGTGTGTGTGTCGCGCTCGCCCTGGGAGGAAGCGGGCGTCGTGTGTTCTTCCCCCCTGCGTTTCTGGGCCCGAGCCTTTTCGTCGTGTATTGTGAGATACTGGAGTCGAGATTACGTGTGCATTTCGATGGACATGGTTCATGGAGCCGGAGACGCGGAGCGCGGGGTCGGCTCTGGCCTCTGCGCGGAGCGGTGCCGGTGGGCGAGTCCGAGTGGGACTGTCACGGTGTGCGGTCCTGCGCGCTGGGGCGACTGCTTCGTGCGTCGCTGGCGGACCGGCGGGCAGCGCCGCCTCCCTTCGCTCGAGAACTGACAGGTTGGCGTCTGTCTGAGCAGGAGCCGACGCTCGTCGGGAGCTGTGTCATGAGCCTCGTCGCTCGGAGGTCCCGCGCACAAAGCGGCGGGCAGCGGCGGGCGCGGGGTAAGGGTTCCCCTTCCCGCCCGCTAGGCGCTGCCCTCTGCGCCGAGGCTCGACCCGCTTCTCCTCAGTTCACTAGCACAAACTAAAGTACGGAATTGGGCTCAACCTCAAAGCTGTCAGCTGGGTTCTGCATTCTGCATCTGCATTCTGCATTTTGGGGCTAGCCCGGTCGAACACCCCGGGTCGCGATTTTGGCAAGTGAATACGGGCGCTTTTTGACGATGAAATAAGAATCTACTGCCCGAGGGAAACACATAGACACCCACATGGTTGACCAACCCTAAGTGTGTGAGGGTCAGTGTTCACATTCACACCCCACTGGCACCGTGGCACTGTACAGTGTGCAGACCGACATACAGCACGCACAATGTAGCACTTACTAGTAAGCGCGCGCATCCCCCGCGCTCGCCCCTCCACGGCCGCGTGGAGGGCGCAACTGCACATGCCTCCCCTTCGGGGCGCCGCTA